CGGCGCCGCCTCTGGGGCCCGAGGGCCTGCTCGGGGGCTGGTTCCGTCGCCTAATGGCTGGGAGGACGCGGGGTCTGGAGGTGGCGTGGGCTCTGCCTGCCCGGCTCTGCGGCAGTGCCCCGACTCCTCCTGGTTTGCTCTGGTGGCACAGACGTGGTTCTCGGGGATGGGAGGCGAGCATCCAGCCTGCCCGCCTGCACGGGCCCCTGGGCGCCGGAGGGGTTTGGTCCCCCCGCGGTCGTTAGCTGCGCCTACGGGGAATCAGCCCTGGCTCGTTGTGTCCTTGTCTATTCCTCTGCGGTTAAGTTATTAATTTGCATGAAAACCCTTTGCCAAGCCACAGCTAATGGAGACAGATGATCCTCACGTACCTCGTGGCAGGAATTGGCCGACAATTTCATCTGAAGAGATTAAACTTTGATCTTGTTATAATAATTTTCCCACCGCTTGATCAAATGTTTTTGTGAGCGTTGTTGCTTTCTCTTCCCTCGTAATCATTTCCATGGATCCGCTGGGTGGATGCCGTGCCGCGGGCTGCTCGTCAGTGGGGATGCCGTTCCCCATTAGGGTCTTTGCTGTTCCGGGATGGATTTAGCTCTGGGAGGATCTTCTGTCTCCTGAGCTCAGGCTATTCCTGAGCCAGCGTATGAGCCGGGGAGGGGTGAGCTTAACAAGGTCTAATAATGAGCTGTTCCTCCAGAGGCTCCCGCCTGGTGTTGGGCAGAGCTGGGGGGGCGGGCCGGTGCTCGGGAGCTGCGTCCTCACCGGAGCTGCAGGTCTGAGCTGGGGCCGAGAGGCCGGGCTGGGGCAGCAAGCGCCCCGTCCCCTGCCAGGAGTGAAGCAACCGGTCCGTGGTGCCAGCCCACACCTTAGCTGTTTGACACGGCTTTTCTTCTGGGTAAGTGGGGATCTCAGCCCCTTACTGAGCGCTGCGTGCTCCTGGAGGAACTGGGATACGCATGAAGAATGCGGCATAATTAATCTGTAATCTGCTCAAAATCAACGTCTCTTGTCGAGCTGTCGAGTCTCCGGATGCAGATGGTGGCTCAGAATTAGCTGAGCAGCTGAGCCTCAGGAAGCTTCCTGAAACACTTAAATGTCTTGCTGCCGAAGGTGCCCCCCCCCGGGGGCAGTGCCAGGCTGGACCTGCTCCGTCTGCAGGTGCCCAGGTCCCCCGGTCCCTCTCGCTCGGGCACCATGGGCAAGAAGTGACAGCGGCGATGGAGCTGTGCCTGCTGGCGAGGAGGGGGAGAGGGTCGTCTCCTGGGGAGGCAGCTTCTCGGTCCGGTTTGCCTGTAAGGCCCCTCTCGGGCGAGAGCCCCCCCGCTGCGAGGAGGGGACGCGGTGCAGGTGGGGCACGGAGCCACGGTCGGCTTTTGGGGGGCCCC